GTAGATAAACGCTCTCAAACTTTATCAGCTTGTAGTTGGCCGTCAAAATTGCACCGATAAACGCTGAGGAATAGTAGCCTGCTCGCCCAACGCATGCGTGTCCCAACTGCCTGCACGCCCCTTTTGATGGATGCCAAATACATTTGTTTGACAACTTAGAGAAATCTGTGCTGTGGGTAACAGTCGTTCAAGTTCTGCAGAGCTAGCTAGGCTGCAAAGCGATTCACATTTCTTGCTAGCCACCGAAAAACGATATGAGGGGAAAGAGTTGGCCACACATTCACTCGTCTAATGACATGACATAGTAGCTAGCTAGCTAACGTTAGGCTACATGTTTTTAGCTTTCTACATAAATAGATACGCTAGCGGCTAGCCTATTAGCCACGTTATGACTGACTTGTGATCATTGCCCTTGCTAGTTTGATTATATTGACATTCCCAGCCTTAGTTAAAGTTGTCCGTCAAATATTTAGTCATTGACACTGAAACAGTGCATCCCGACTGGCAGCAAACAATAGCAATGTGGTTTGGACTTCCAAGAAATGTATTGGTGAATTATATGAATCATGCATTGAACTGTATCCATCTATTCTGCCAACAATGCCTTAGCGTACGTCATGGAACGTTGAGTCACATAGAACCTATTTTTAAAACCTCTTATAAAGTTGGTTTTGTAGCATAAACTGGGAATTGGATGTTTTGGACTGATATTATGATTGTCTGTTTGTTTCAAACGCTGTCCGTTCCACTTTAAATCCACACTACTGTGCTGTCTGTGTTTAAATCCAAACTGCTTGTAGTTCTGTGTGCAAAGCCTTTCCCCAGGACTTAATACACACACACACACACAGTCACACACACACACACAGTCACACACACTGACACACACACAGTCACACACACACACACACAGTCACACACACACACACAGTCACACACACACACACTGACACACACACACAGTCACACACACTGACACACACACAGTCACACACACACACACTGACACACACACACACACACACACTGACACACACACTGACACACACACAGACACACACACTGACACACACACAGACACACACACTGACACACACACAGACACACACACTGACACACACACAGTCACACACACTGACACACACACAGTCACACACACACACACACAGTCACACACACACACACAGTCACACACACAGTCACACACACACACACACAGTCACACACACACACAGTCACACACACAGTCACACACACTGACACACACACACACACACACACACACACACACACACAGTCACACAGTCACACACACACACAGTCACACACACACTGACACACACACTGACACACACACAGTCACACACACTGACACACACACACTGACACACACACAGTCACACACACACACAGTCACACACACACACTGACACACACACACCCAGTCACACACACCCAGTCACAGCCCTAAGAATCATTCATTCTCTCCACACACCTCCTACTGTATGACTAGGTTGCGTCCCAAATCGCACATTATTTCCTACTTAGTGCACTACTTTTGACCAGGGCCTATAGGGTTTTAGTCAATATAGTGTACTGTATTTATTAGGGTATAGGATGCTATTTGGGATGTTTAGGGGAGAGTAACATGTTCTCAGTTAAGACAGCAGCTGTAATGACGTAGTGAAGTCAGCATGTTTCTAATGCAGACGACGAGCTTCCTACTAGAAAACAGCCAGTCCGACCATGTTTCGCCCAGATACAGTGGGGGGGGGAAAGTATTTAGTCAGCCACCAATTGTGCAAGTTCTCCCACTTAAAAAGATGAGAGAGGCCTGTAATTTTCATCATAGGTACACGTCAACTATGACAGACAAAATGAGGGAATAAAATCCAGAAAATCACATTGTAGGATTTTTAATGAATTTATTTGCAAATTATGGTGGAAAATAAGTATTTGGTCAATAACAAAAGTTTCTCAATACTTTGTTATATACCCTTTGTTGGCAATGACACAGGTCAAACGTTTTCTGTAAGTCTTCACAAGGTTTTCACACACTGTTGCTGGTATTTTGGCCCATTCCTCCATGCAGATCTCCTCTAGAGCAGTGATGTTTTGGGGTTGTCGCTGGGCAACACGGACTTTCAACTCCCTCCAAAGATTTTCTATGGGGTTGAGATCTGGAGACTGGCTAGGCCACTCCAGGACCTTGAAATGCTTCTTACGAAGCCACTCCTTCGTTGCCCGGGCGGTGTGTTTGGGATCATTGTCATGCTGAAAGACCCAGCCACGTTTCATCTTCAATGCCCTTGCTGATGGAAGGAGGTTTTCACTCAAAATCTCACGATACATGGCCCCATTCATTCTTTCCTTTACACGGATCAGTCGTCCTGGTCCCTTTGCAGAAAAACAGCCCCAAAGCATGATGTTTCCACCCCCATGCTTCACAGTAGGTATTGTGTTCTTTGGATGCAACTCAGCATTCTTTGTCCTCCAAACACGACGAGTTGAGTTTTTACCAAAAAGTTATATTTTGGTTTCATCTGACCATATGACATTCTCCCAATCCTCTTCTGGATCATCCAAATGCACTCTAGCAAACTTCAGACGGGCCTGGACATGTACTGGCTTAAGCAGGGGGACACGTCTGGCACTGCAGGATTTCAGTCCCTGGCGGCGTAGTGTGTTACTGATGGTAGGCTTTGTTACTTTGGTCCCAGCTCTCTGCAGGTCATTCACTAGGTCCCCCCGTGTGGTTCTGGGATTTTTGCTCACCATTCTTGTGATCATTTTGACCCCACGGGGTGAGATCTTGCGTGGAGCCCCAGATCGAGGGAGATTATCAGTGGTCTTGTATGTCTTCCATTTCCTAATAATTGCTCCCACAATTGATTTCTTCAAACCAAGCTGCTTACCTATTGCAGATTCAGTCTTCCCAGCCTGGTGCAGGTCTACAATTTTGTTTCTGGTGTCGTTTTGACAGGTCTTTGGTCTTGGCCATAGTGGAGTTTGGAGTGTGACTGTTTGAGGTTGTGGACAGGTGCCATTAATACAGGTAACGAGTGGAGGACAGAGGAGCCTCTTAAAGAAGAAGTTGCAGGTCTGTGAGAGCCAGAAATCTTGCTTGTTTGTAGGTGACCAAATACTTATTTTCCACCATAATTTGCAAATAAATTCATTAAAAATCCTACAATGTGATTTTCTGGAGAAAAAAAATCTCAATTTGTCTGTCATAGTTGACGTGTACCTATGGCTGTGTTACTCCAACCATGTATTTTATACCTTTATTTAAATAGGGAGTCACCTTGTAGACCAGGGTATTTCACAAGGGAGCCTTGCATATACAACTCAATAAGAAACTCAAAAATCGAATGCAATATAAAACACAAATATTCTAAAAAAAACAATTACATTCCTCAGTAAGAAGGTCCCCAATCAATCTTTAACAGTTCCGGAGCGGCACCAGAACATCCAATAGTAATGAGCTATATTCTGACCAACAGGGCAGTTAACCTACAATGAGCTCAGCTGAGAGGACTGTTGGTGAAGGACCGTGGACACGCTACAGTATTGCAGAGATCTGTTGGTCCAAAACTATGAGCTCATTCTAAGGGAGTGGAGAGTGAGTGGGGAGAGGGGTGTGGGGAAAGCAGGGGAGGGTAGAGAGGGTAGAGAGGGAGGGGTGTACCCTGTACAGTATTGCAGAGATCTGTTGGTCCAAAACTCTTTCTGTTTAAGCAGCCATCTCACACTTTGAGTTTCCTGTACTGTTAAACCACATAGTGACCCTGTACCACAGACCATCCATTTTCCTGTCCTGCCCAGATTCCTGCTGTCTCTCTCGCTGTACTCTGACTGACTCTGTGTTTGCACAGCCATAACATAAAATATCCAGCTTGCATATCCCAGGGGAGTCAAGCATGCTGATAGCCCATGCCCCTTGGCTGTAACCGGGGGGAGGGTGGGAGGGAGAGAGGGAGGAGGGGAGAGAGAGGGAGGGAGTGAGGGAGGAGGGGAGAGTGAGTGGAGGGGAGGAGGGTGAGATAGAGGGAGAGGTGAGGGAGGAGGGGAGAGCGCGGGAGGGGGGTTCAGGGAGGGAGTTTGAGGAGTGGTTCTTGAGTTAGGTAGTGAGAGAGAGGGAGTAAATTTAGGGTGCGTGAGTTTCGAGGAGTTTTTTTCTTTTTTTAGTGAGGGAGAGGGTTGGGAAGACAGGGGATGGGGGAGTGAGAGAGGGAGTGAGTTCGGAGGGTTGGGAGGGGAGAGACAGAGGGAGGGGGGAGAGAGAGTTCTACCCTCTCATTTCTCCCTGGTTCTACGTAGGGAATAGGGTCCCACACCCATTTTCCCCCCTTACCCCGTTCCCGCACCCCTCTGGATCATGTTGCCAATGTTTGTTTCAGACAGGAAAACTTGGCATTCTCAGTGTCTAATGGTGTGGTAGCCTAGCCCAGTAGTGCACTGCTTCTCACCAGGGCCCATTGGGCTGCACTACATAGGGAATAGGGTACCATTTAAGACGTTGCCCAGGTGTGACCTGACCATCCTGTCTGTCTGCCTGCCTGCCTGCCTGCCTGCCTGCCTGCCTGCCTGCCTGTCTGTCTGTCTGCCTGCCTGGATTTCCCTTGTGAAAGAACGAAATCCCAGACCAGCCAAAATAACAGTCATTCGGTTTCGCCTCCTTGGTCGTTTTAGTTGACTTGAGTTGCTTGGTGGAGTTTCTCAAATAGGCTTTTTATTAAAACCACATTAGAGACAATTAATCCAGTCATTCTTGTTTAGTCAGGGTTGTCTCTATTGATTATGTAAACGGTACTGTGAGTGTCTATTCTAACAGAAACCAAACGGAGAAAATCTGTGAGTAATGCAGCCAGACTTTAGCCTCTTAGCGTAGCAGCCAGTGAGTGACGACACTTCGGAAGGATCATCCTGGCGCTAGGACCGCGCACGGCTCTGTGAGTGAGGAAATCTCTGCATAGGGACCGCTCGTTCTCTCCATCAGAATAGCTCCGAGGCTGTTTGCTGCGGTGCGGAGCCATCACCACCTCTCCTCCTCCCGCTCCGTCTTCCGATCCACCGAACCTGAACCATCTGGGCATATCTCCGGGGGACGGAGCTCTCCTTATGGGCTCACAATGCGCAGGATACGGGCCAACGCCATCGCAATTTTGACTGTAGCGTGGATTCTGGGAACATTCTATTACCTGTGGCAGGACAATAAGCCGCACTCATCATCCCCGTCCACGGCCTCGCAACCCCGCGTCGGGGGCAGCAGGAGCCATGCCGGACGACTGGACATCCACCGAGACGACAGTCACAGGACCATTCCGCTGATCGTAAGTGACAGGTTGAGAGGAGAGTAGCAGAGCTGGATGAGAGATAAGGGAAGAGCGACAGACTGCGCTGCGGCGCTCTCTCTCTGCTGGAAGGAAAGCGGCTGGCTGTGCTATGTGCGGCTGCAGCTCGCCTCACACAGCACAGCCAGGGAGGGGGGGTGTGTGTTGCATGTTGATGTACGTTGGGTGATCTGTGTTGTGGTGCACAGCTGGAGGTACTGTTCACCCACCTCCTCACTAAGCCTATGCTGCCTGTATGTATTTGACGCAAAGAACCTGTGCGTCGACGCTGTGGGTCCATTTCATGTACTTAATCAGAGCTCTAAATACCCTATGCTTTTCTGCTACCGTTGTTGCATTATTTGCACGTCCTTCGCTCTCGTCCATTGCCCTTTGGTCGAAGGCTGCCACAGGACCTGAATAACCCATAAGAGGCTTTCCATAAGACTCTGAAGGATGAGGGAGAAAACCGAGATAGCCCTGAGAGCCGAGCTGCCCGCAACTAACCGCCTTCTGGAGCGTAGATACAGAACTGTTATGACTGTGTTGTAGAACCTAGAGCATATTCTCTGCAATATAAACCGAGACCCATTGAACAGTTTAGATACCAAAAAAATGGCATATGGGTGGGAGGACAAATGTAGGTCTGTAGCCTTTAAAGACGGTTCGTGAACAGGGGATGGATGATATCTCTCTTCTTTCCCATATTGACGCCTCTATTCCTTTGTCTTCATGCGACATAGTTTTTTTTTCTCATGACATCTTAACGCTCTGTGTGTCTAGGTGCATGGAAAAATCACTGCTATACGTGGTCGACATGCCTTTGCGATTCTTGCCAAAGTTGAGTGGTATTAAATTGGCCATGTAGCTGCAGGATACCTGTAGGCCCGCCCATGTAGCTGCAGGATACCTGTAGGCCCGCCCATGTAGCTGCAGGATACCTGTAGGCCCGCCCATGTAGCTGCAGGATACCTGTAGGCCCGCCTGCACGGTTGGGGAGTGACAGATTACATCTAGAAAATAACCTACCCCAACCCTACACACCTAGGCTATTTTAGGATTTTACTGTCAGGGATGTTTCCGTATAGTTTACTCAGGTTAATGGCTAGTCGGCCCTTGGGTCTATGACCTATAGGAAAATAATGACATGTTCTCTTCAGGACTAATCATCTATTCTCTGCATGTTCTACAGTTAGTGTTTGTTTCTCGTGACCCAATCAGAGAGTCTTTATATTGCGGCCTATAATTCCTGACAGACAGTTTTATCATAACTAGAAATGGAGCATTACATTTATAGCAGGTCCTTGATGGAGCTGTAAAACGAGTAAAGTTCGGGAAGAGTGCTCCAAGAAACGGAGGGAGAGTTTTTTTACTAGATCAATTAAATCCAGTCAGCTGTGCTTCGTGGCTCCGCACATTGGAAGAAAGACCCTCATGCTGATGTGGCCCCTAGTCCTCCCAATGGCCCTCACACGTGCCAATGTTTTTCATTGTGACTGGAGAAAATATGAAGAGGTTGTTGATGAAGGCCTATACCACCGTAAGGTCAATAGGCTACCCAAGCTGTACAATAGACTTCAGTCTCCAGGTAGAGAGGTGCGAGTTTACCAGATGAGGTCAACCAGCAAGCAAACACATGGTGCCATGTTCTGTGATCTCAGTGTTTTGTAGACCTAACTGTAGTAAAAACAACAGCCCAATCACATCTACGTTTTCTGTTTTACAATGAGTTGTGTGCAGATGTGTGGAAGACATCTTCTTAAAGCCACACTGTTAATTGCACATTCAGAGCACCATCAAAGAGTGACTGGGCCCATCAATAAAAACAATTGTAGGCCCAAACAGCCATATCCCAAGGTGCATTACGGTTAGGTGCTTTCCAAGGTGCATTCCAGGATTTGTTCACAAGCAACTATCCCTCTGGCTATGGATGGCTAGGACAAATAGTCCTAACCTTAACCCCAACCGTAACTGTGACACCTAATACCTAACCCACCCAACCCTAACACCTAATACCTAACCCACCCAACCCTAACACCTAACCCACCCAACCCTAACACCTAACCCACCCACCCAACCCTAACACCTAATACCTAACCCACCCAACCCTAACACCTAACCCACCCACCCAACCCCACCCAACACCAATACCGAACCCACCCACCCACCCAACCCTGAACACCATACCCAAACAACCCACCAACCCTAACACCTAACCCACCCAACCCTAACACCTAACCCACCCAACCCTAATACCTAACCCACCCAACCCTAACACCCAACCCCACCCAACCCTAATACTAACCCACCCAACCCTAATACCTAACCCACCCAACCCTAACACCTAACCCACCCAACCCTAACACCTAACCCACCCAACCCTAATACCTAACCCACCCAACCCTAACACCTAACCCACCCCACCCTAACACCCAACCCTAACACCTAACCCACCCAACCCTAACACCTAACCCACCCAACCCAAACCAACCCACCCACCCAACACCTAACCCACCCCACCCAACACCTAACCACCCACCCTAACCAACCCACCCACCCATACCCTAACCCACCCAACCCTAAACCTAACCCACCCAACCCAATACCTAACCCAGACCCACCCTACACCTAACCCACGCAACCCAACCCAACCCGAACACCTAACCCACCCACCCACCCAATACCTAACCCACCCAACCCAACACCTAACCCCACCCAACCCTAATACCTAACCCACCCCACCCTAACACCTAACCCACCCAACCCTAATACCTAACCCACCCCACCCTACACCTAACCCACCCAACCAACACCAAACCAACCCCCCTAACCCTAAAACCAACCCACCCAACCCAACCCAACCCACCCAACCAATCAGATAACAACTACCAACCTAACCCTACCCCCCAACCCAACACCTAAACCACCCTAACCCCACCCAACCCTAAACACCAAACCACCCACCCAACCAACACCACACACCTAAACAACCCACCCAACCCACCCTAACCCACCCACCCAACCCTAACCCACCACACCAACCCACCCAACCCTAACACGAACCCACCCACCCTAAACCAACCCACCCAACCCTAACACCGAACCCACCCAACCCTAACCACCCACCCAACCCTGAACCCACAACCCTAACACCAACCCACCCACCTAACTAACAACCCACCCAACCCAAACCTAACCCACCCAACCCTAACACCTAACCCACCCAACCCTAACACCTAACCCCACCCAAACCAAACACCAACCCAACACCAACCCTAAACCTAACCCACCCAACCCTAACACCAACCCACCCAACCCTAAACCTAACCCACCCAACCCAACACCTAACCCACCCAACCCTAACACCTACACCCACCCAACCCTAACACAACCTAACCCACCCAACCCTAAACCTAACCCACCCAACCCAAACCTAACCCACCCACACCCTAAAACCCAACCCTAACCCACCCAACCCTAAACTAACCCCCCTAACCACACCCCCAACCCTAACACCTAACCCCCACCCAACACCTAACCCACCCAACCCAACCCTAACCCACCCAACCCTAATACCTAACCCACCCAACCCCAACACCTAACCCACCCAACCCAACACCTAACCCACCCAACCCGAACACCTAACCCACCCACCCAACCTAAACCAACCCACCCAACCCTAAACCTAACCCACCCAACCCTAACACCAACCACCCCAACCCTAACACCTAACCCACCCACCCTACACCTAACCCACCCACCCTAAACCTAACCCACCCAACCCAACACCTAACCCACCCACCCTAACACCTAAACCCACCCCCAACCCTAACACCTAAACCAACCCACCCAACCCTAAACCAACCCACCCACCCAAACCTAACCCACCCAACCCAACACCAACCCACCCAACCCAAGACCTAACCCCCCAACCCAACACCTACCCACCCACCCAACACCTAACCCACCCAACCCAACACCAACCCACCCAACCCTAATACCTAACCACCCAACCCAAACCAACCCACCCAACCCAACACCAACCCACCCACCCTAACTACCCAACCCACCAACCCCAACAACCAACCCACCCCACCCAACACCTAACCCCCCAACCCTAATACCTAACCCACCCACCCTAAACCTAACCCCCCAACCCAAACCTAACCCACCCAACCCTAACACCTAACCCCACCCAACCCTAACACCACACCCCCATCCAACCCACCCAACCCTACACCACCCCCCCAACCCAACACCTAACCCACCCAACCCTAATACCTAACCCACCCAACCCTAACACCAACCCCACCCAACCCAACACCTACACCTAACCCACCCACCCAACACCTAACCCACCCAACCCTAACCCTAACCCCACCCAACCCTAACACCTAACCCACCCAACCCTAACACACCCTACCCACCCAACCCAAACCAACCCACCTCAACCCAAACCTAACCCACCCCACCCTAATACCTAAACACCTAACCCTAAACCTAACAACCCAACCCTAACACCTAACCCACCCAACCCTAACACCTAACCCACCCAACCCTAACCGTGAGCATTCCATTAGTGTGTCTACAATATAGAATGGAACACCAGCTTGCTGCACTCCATGCTCTCTCTTTGTGGTTCCATGGAAACAGGGTGCCCTTGACAACCAGGGTTCCTGACATCATTCATGATGACTTATGTCTTGGCCCAGTCATGAGTCCCTGTGTGTAACCTAGGATACAGTACGATAAGGAATTAGACCAACTGTCACTGGTTAGTGTGTGTTCCTTCCTTCCAAACAACTCAACTTTCGTTTAATTTGTCCACAGAATATTTTGCCAGTAGTGCTGTGGAACATCCAGGTGCTCTTTTGCGAACTTCAGACGTGCAGCAATGTTTTTTTTTTTGGGACAGCAGTGGCTTCTTCCGTGGTGTCCTCCCATGAACACCATTCTTGTTTAGTGTTTTACGTATCGTAGACTCGTCAACAGAGATGTTAGCGTGTTCCTGAGATTTCTGTAAGTCTTTAGCTGGCACTCTAGGATTCTTCTTAACCTCGTTGAGCGTTCTGCGCTGTGCTCTTGCAGTCATCTCTGCAGGACGGCCACTCCTAGGGAGAGTAGCAACAGTGTTGAACTTTCTCCATTTATAGACCATTTGTCTTACCGTGGACTGATGAACATCAAGGTTTTTAGAGATACTTTTGTAACCCTTTCCAGCTTTATGCAAGTCAACAATTCTTAATCTTAGGTCTTCTGAGATCTATTTTGTTCGAGGCTTGGTTCACATCAGGCAATGCTTCTTGTGAATAGCGAACTCACATTTTGTGAGTGTTTTTATAAGGCAAGGCAGCTCTAACCAACATCTCCAATCTCGTCTCATTGATTGGCTCCAGGTTAGCTGACTCCTGACTCCAATTAGCTTTCGGAGAAGTCATTAGCCTATGGGGGTTCACACACTTTCCCAACCTACACTGTGAATGTTTAAATGATGTATTCAATATAGACAAGAAAAATACAATAATTTGTGTGTTATTAGTTTAAGCACACTGTGTTTGTCTGTTGTTGTGACTTAGATGAAGATCAGATCACATTTTATGACCAATTTCTGCAGAAATCCAGGTAATTCCGAAGGGTTCACATACCTTTTCTTGCCACTGTATGTCGTTGCTTCAAGTAGTGTATTTACTGTATTTTATGTATTGCCTTGGAATCAACTTCAATTCCAACGTTAGTCCATTTATAGTTTGTTAAATGTCTTACAGAAACGAAATATGACGAAAAATGTAGACCTATCTTTCCTAAATATGTTAACTTGAATCCATTTGCAGTCCACATTGTTCTAACGTAATTGCATGGCTTCAATAGACTTCACACTGATATAGGGGCTAGGCCTACTGTAAATTGCATTATGGCTGAGCATGGACATGCCAAACATTGTCAATAACCAATATTAAATTAATTATCCTAGTTCTAAAAAGAGAACAAATAATTATAATCAAATTCTAAACAAAACGAAACAACAACTTGTTTTCAATAGGCTACGTCACACTTACAGGCAGCATCATTTCTCCCCGTGGGCATATAATATTAAAACAACGCAGACTATGGAGGGTTTTACGCAGACTATGGAGGGTTTTACGCACATCCAAACTTTTCACAGTAGCTGGACAAAAGAGCCAATATAAACAGGAAGGGAGAATGTCCACTCACCGTTCTACTGCTCCTAAACAGGCCTGTGTTTTATCAACAATAATCGGAACACATTTTACAGATCAGATCGCATTCACACGTCTCCAGAAGTTGTATTGCACGCGCGCCACGGACGTTGTCACCAGAAAACCAGGAAGGTGAATCATTCTAATAGATTCTGGTTGTAATAAAATGAAATGAAAAACAACAATAAAATCGCCAGGATAAAGACATGCATTGCTGTTGAACCAGCCTTCTCTATAGCAGGCCTAAGGGAGGGCTTGGGTTTTGAAGATATAAAATGGAAAACAAGGAATTTGTACAGGTTACAGATAAGTTCTAAATATGAGGTTCGCCGGTATTCACCGAGGTTCTCGTCTAATAATAATATGCCATATATCCAAAGCGACTTACAGTCATGTGTGCATACATTTTTACGTATGGGTGGTCCCGGGGATCGAACCCACTATGCTCTACCAATTGAGCTACAGAGGACCACATGATGGACGTGGACACGTAGCCTACATCATGCAGGGGTTTTTACACACGTCCAAAATCACGTGGGCCTGCCTACAATACTTCGATAAAAAGGGAATCTCAGCTCACTGTTCAACTCCTCTCAAACTTGATATTTTCATAAAGCTTTGGTGATTCATATTTATTTCCAAGCGGTCTCAGGAGTCACATCCTTTGTCGACAGTCTTGACTACTTCGAGATTGCATTGGGCAGACAAAAAAAGCCTTAATTGACAGAAGGGGAGGCTATGCTTGGTTTTTATCAGATAAAACTAAATGGGAAGTATACAGGCACCAAAAGCACGTTAGGCTACTCTTGTTCCATGCGCATATGGGCAGTGTGCGTCAAGACTTGATAGGCTGTGTCTCCACTGTCAAAATTCATGCCATAACCAATTGCGTTACCGCTAAAAGCAGCTTTTCGTTGGCCTTATATCCCCATCAGCGCTGCCGGAAATTAGCACTTTGGGTCATGTTTTTAAGGACAAACCTCAAATATTTCAAACCCTCCCATCTGAGCGCAAGCGACCTGATATAAGACAGGTAAATTGCCCGAAACCTGGCGTTAGGGCTGGAAAATTATTTCCTCCCTCCCTCCCTCCCTCTCTTCCTCCTTCTTTCTATAATTTCCTTTAGTAGCCATGGTATTAAATTAGATTCAGTGATGTAATCATAACAGTACTGTAATGTAATGTAATTTGAGTTTTGTTTGCATCACTACATTATATTTACTTTTCCATGAGCTCAACCCCCCCCCCTTCTCTTCCCTGTTGTATTGAGCTCAACCCCCCCCTTCTCTTCCCTGCTGTATTGAGCTCAACCCCCCCCCTCTTCCATGCTGTATTGAGCACCCCCCCCTCCTCTTCCATGCTGTATTGATCTCAACCCCCCCCCTCCTCTGCCATGCTGTATTGATCTCAACCCCCCCCCTCCTCTTCCATGCTGTATTGATCTCAACCCCCCCCTCCTCTTCCATGCTGTATTGATCTCAACCCCCCCCCTCCTCTTCCATGCTGTATTGATCTCAACCCCCCTCCTCTTCCATGCTGTATTGATCTCAACCCCCCCCTCCTCTTCCATGCTGTATTGATCTCAACCCCCCCCTCCTCTTCCATGCTGTATTGATCTCAACCCCCCCCCCCCTCCCACGCTGTATTGAGCTCAACCCCCCCCCCCCCGCCATTTCCAAGCTGTATTGAGCCCAACCCCCCCCTCCTCTTCCCTGCTGTATTGAGCTCAACCCCCCCCCTCCTCTTCCATGCTGTATTGAGCTCAACCCCCCCTCCTCTTCCATGCTGTATGAGCTCAATCTTTCTCCTCCTCTTCCATGCTGTATTGAGCTCAACCCCCCCCCCCTCTTCCATGCTGTATTGAGCTCAACCCCCCCTCCTCTTCCATGCTGTATTGAGTTCAACCCCCCCCCCCCTCCTCTTCCATGCTGTATTGAGCTCAACCCCCACTCCTCTTCCATGCTGTATTGATCTCAACCCCCCTCCTCTTCCCTGCTGTATTGATCTCACCCCCCCCCCCTCCTCTTCCATGCTGTATTGATCTCAACCCCCCCTCCTCTTCCATGCTGTATTGATCTCACCCCCCCCTCCTCTTCCATGCTGTATTGATCTCAACCCCCCTCCTCTTCCCTGCTGTATTGATCTCAACCCCCCTCCCCCCCTTCCATGCTGTATTGAGCTCAACCCCCCCCCTTCCATGCTGTTTTGAGCTCAACCCCCCCTCCTCTTCCATGCTGTATTGATCTCAACCCCCCCTCTTCCATGCTGTATTGATCTCCCCCCCCCCCTCTTCCATGCTGTATTGATCTCACCCCCCCCCCTTCCATGCTGTATTGAGCTCAACCCCCCCCTCCTCTTCCATGCTGTATTGAGTTCAACCCCCCTCCTCCTCTTCCATGCTGTATTGAGCTCAACCTCTCCCCCTCCTCTTCCATGCTGTATTGAGCTCAACCCCCCCTCCTCTTCCATTCTGTATTGAGCTCAACCTCTCCCCTCCTCTTCCATGCTGTATTGAGCTCAACCCCCCCCTCCTCTTCCCTGCTGTATTGAGCTCAACCTCTCCCCTCCTCTTCCATGCTGTATTGAGCTCAACCTCTCCCCTCCTCTTCCATGCTGTATTGAGCTCAACCCCCCCCTCCTCTTCCATGCTGTATTGAGCTCAACCTCCCCCCTCCTCTTCCCTGCTGTATTGAGCTCAACCTCTCCCCTCCTCTTCCATGCTATATTGAGCTCAACCCCCCCTCCTCTTCCATGCTGTATTGAGCTCAACCCCCCCCCCCTCCTCTTCCCTGCTGTATTGAGCTCAACCTCTCCCCTCCTCTTCCATGCTGTATTGAGCTCAACCCCCCCCCTCCTCTTCCATTCTGTATTGAGCTCAACCCCCCCCTCCTCTTCCATGCTGTATTGAGTTCAACCCCCCCCCCTCCTCTTCCATGCTGTATTGAGCTCAACCCCTCCCCCTCTTCCATGCTGTATTGATCTCAACCCCCCCCCCTCCTCTTCCATGCTGTATTGAGTTCAACCCCCCCCCTCCTCTTCCATGCTGTATTGAGCTCAACCCCCCCTCCTCTTCCATGCTGTATTGAGCTCAACCCCCCCTCCTCTTCCATGCTGTATTGATCTCAACCCCCCCTCCTCTTCCATGCTGTATTGAGCTCAATCCCCCCCCTCCTCTTCCATGCTGTATTGAGTTCAACCCCCCCCCCCCGCCTCTTCCACGCTGTATTGAGCTCAATCCCCCCCCCTCCTCTTCCACGCTGTATTGAGCTCAACCCCCCCTCCTCTTCCATGCTGTATTGAGTTCAACCCCCCCCTCCTCTTCCATGCTGTATTGATCTCAACCCCCCCCTCCTCTTCCATGCTGTATTGATCTCAACCCCCCCCCCCTCTTCCATGCTGTATTGAGCTCAACCCCCCCCTCCTCTTCCATGCTGTATTGAGTTCAACCCCCCCCCCCCCCTCCTCTTCCACGCTGTATTGAGCTCAATCCCCCCCCTCCTCTTCCATGCTGTATGGCACCCTCTTAGCACAACTTTGTGCATGTGTGTGTGGTTTTGCGAGCCATCCGGTTGCTAGATGTGGCAGTGTCACTTCATGATAGGCTAAATATGTTATCTGAGAATGCAGTGAGTCTCAGACCGTTGAAATGAGGTCATAAGAGCCCTGCTTGTAATTGGGTTTGATGGCCAATTATGTCTCCAGATCCCCCAAGGTAGTCACAACCATGAGACCAAGCTTAATATAGATCAGTATAATAAAGCAGGCCTATTTAACATCATAATAAAGCAAGCCTAATTAACATCATAGTGCAACTGCACACAAAGTTGAAATGTCAATAAACATAAGTCCATTACCAACTACATGTAACAAAGGAAAACAGATAAATGGCTGGTTGGCTTGGCCATTAGCGGCTGAAATCCCACACAAACAAAACAGAGGTGAGGACCAACTTGCCCGCTTAAATACCTGACCATAGAGTTAGACAGAGGGCACTCCTGCCATCTGTAATCACGTGACCACAGAGGTGGGTAGAGAGCGATCACTAATCAGGGAATTCTGTACATTTACGGTTCTTAGTAATAGCAGTGAGTGTGTCTGTCTGTGGAGACAGTAAATTAACCATTCTTCCTGTTTAAATGTGCCTAATCTACTAATCTGGCCATAAATCTGATATTTTAGATCAGACACTTCTGTATATCTATGAGACCCTGTAGACATCACATATATTGAGTTCCACCTTCTAATGGAAGCCGAAGGTCATATTTAATTCACTGGATTAGGATTGGAAGTGCTTTCCGCAGCTTCTGAAAGGCGGAGTCCCAAATGCCCCCCTGTTCCCCTACACAGTGCACTACCTTTGACCGGAGCCCTATGGGTCCTGTTCAAAAGTAGTGTACTATATAGGGAACAGGGGGTCATTTGGGACTCAGGTTCTGTCCGTTTGTTGTCTTCTCCTGAGAAATGGAAAGTGAGGTCATGATTGTGCCTGAGAGAGAACTGGATGGGAGTTAATCTAAGCGAGTTCTATTCTCTAGGTGTGTGCGTGTGTGTGTGTGTGTGTGTGTGTGTGTGAGCGTGTGTGTGTGTGTGTGTGTGTGTGTGTGTGTGTGTGTGTGTGTGTGTGTGTGAGCATGTGTGTGAGCGTGTGTGCGCTAAGCTTTAAGCCTCTCCCCTGACAGACCATTAATAACACAGAACTGAAGAATGCAGTTCTCTCTGTTCTCTTTCCATTCCTCCTCTATTCTATCCTCTTTCCCTCAGACAACATCTCCCCCCTCCTTCAAATATTCATATTCACATTCACCTGTATCATCCTTCCACTCCTCTCTTCCACTTTATTTTCCTCTCAGCCTCTCTCTCCTACACCTCCTCTGTCTCTCTCCACCACCTCCTCTGTGTCCTCTGTCTCACTCCTACACCTCCTCTGTGTCCTCTGTCTCACTCCTACACCTCCTCTGTCTCACTCCTACACCTCCTCTGTGTCCTCTGTCTCACTCCTACACCTCCTCTGTGTCCTCTGTCTCTCTCCTACACCTCCTCTATGTCCTCTGTCTCACTCCTACACCTCCTCTGTGTCCTCTGTCTCACTCCTACACCTCCTATGTGTCCTCTGTCTCTCTCCTACACCTCCTCTGTGTCCTCTGTCTCACTCCTACACCTCCTCTATGTCCTCTGTCTCTCTCCACCACCTCCTCTGTTTCCTCCGTCTAACTCCTACACCTCCTCTGTGTCCTCTGTCTCTCTCCACCACCTCCTCTGTGTCCTCTGTCTCTCTCCTACACCTCCTCTGTGTCCTCTGTCTCACTCCTACACCTCCTCTGTGTCCTCTGTCTCTCTCCTACACCTCCTCTGTGTCCTCTGTCTCACTCCTACACCTCCTCTGTTTCCTCTGTCTCTCTCCTACACCTCCTCTGTGTCCTCTGTCTCACTCCTACACCTCCTCTGTGTCCTCTGTCTCACTCCTACACCTCCTCTGTGTCCTCTGTCTCACTCCTACACCTCCTCTGTGTCCTCTGTCTCTCTCCTACACCTCCTCTGTGTCCTCTGTCTCACTCCTACACCTCCTCTGTGTCCTCTGTCTCTCTCCTACACCTCCTCTGTGTCCTCTGTCTCTCTCCTACACCTCCTCTGTGTCCTCTGTCTCACTCCTACACCTCCTCTGTGTCCTCTGTCTCACTCCTACACCTCCTCTGTGTCCTCTGTCTCACTCCAACACCTCCTCTGTGTCCTCTGTCTCTCTCCTACACCTCCTCTATGTCCTCTGTCTCTCTCCTACACCTCCTCTATGTCCTCTGTCTCACTCCTACACCTCCTCTGTGTCCTCTGTCTCACTCCTACACCTCCTCTGTTTCCTCTGTCTCACTCCTACACCTCCTCTGTTTCGTCTGTCTCACTCCTACACCTCCTCTGTGTCCTCTGTCTCACTCCTACACCTCCTCTGTTTTTCTCTGTCTCACTCCTACACCTCCTCTGTTTCGTCTGTCTCACTCCTACACCTCCTCTGTTTCCTCTGTCTCACTCCTACACCTCCTCTGTGTCCTCTGTCTCACTCCTACACCTCCTCTGTCTCACTCCTACACCTCCTCTGTCTCACTCCTACACCTCCTCTGTGTCCTCTGTCTCACTCCTACACCTCCTCTGTCTCACTCCTACACCGCCTCTGTGTCCTCTGTCTCACTCCTACACCTCCTCTGTTTCGTCTGTCTCACTCCTACACCTCCTCTGTGTCCTCTGTCTCACTCCTACACCTCCTCTGTTTCGTCTGTCTCACTCCTACACCTCCTCTGTGTCCTCTGTCTCACTCCTACACCTCCTCTGTGTCCTCTGTCTCTCTCCTACACCTCCTCTGTGTCCCCTGTCTCACTCCTACACCTCCTCTGTGTCCTCTGTCTCTCTCCTACACCTCCTCTGTTTTTCTCTGTCTCACTCCTACACCTCCTCTGTGTCCTCTGTCTCTCTCCTACACCTCCTCTGTTTTTCTCTGTCTCTCTCCTACACCTCCTCTGTGTCCTCTGTCTCTCTCCTACACCTCCTCTGTGTCCTCTGTCTCACTCCTACACCTCCTCTGTGTCCTCTGTCTCACTCCTACACCTCCTCTGTTTCGTCTGTCTCTCTCCTACACCTCCTCTGTGTCCTCTGTCTCACTCCTACACCTCCCCTGTGTCCTCTGTCTCTCTCCTACACCTCCTCTGTGTCCTCTGTCTCACTCCACCACCTCCTCTGTGTCCTCTGTCTCTCTCCTACACCTCCTCTGTGTCCTCTGTCTCTCTCCTACACCTCCTCTGTGTCCTCTGTCTCACTCCTACACCTCCTCTGTGTCCTCTGTCTCACTCCTACACCTCCTCTGTGTCCTCTGTCTCACTCCTACACCTCCTCTGTCTCTCTCCTACACCTCCTCTGTGTCCTCTGTCTCACTCCACCACCTCCCCTGTGTCCTCTGTCTCACTCCACCACCTCCTCTGTGTCCTCTGTCTCACTCCTACACCTCCTCTGTGTCCTCTGTCTCACTCCTACACCTCCTCTGTGTCCTCTGTCTCTCTCCTACATCTCCTCTGTGTCCTCTGTCTCACTCCACCACCTCCCCTGTGTCCTCTGTCTCACTCCACCACCTCCTCTGTGTCCTCTGTCTCACTCCTACACCTCCTCTGTTTTTCTCTGTCTCTCTCTATCCTCTGTGTCCTCTGTGGTCCTCTGTAGCTCAGCTGGTAGAGCACGGCGCTTGTAACGCCAAGGTAGTGGGTTCGATCCCTGGGACCACCCATACACAAAAAATGTATGCACGCATGACTGTAAGTCGCTTTGGATAAAAGCGTCTGCTAAATGGCATATTATTATTATTATTATCAATTACATTCGAATGGAAACACTCGTTATGATGAAATATCTGGGTTAAAAGGGTCCAGTTAGAGTGCAGTTCATGCAGACAACATTAGAGTCGTGCTAGAGACTGGGTGCTGGAGACTGGGTGCTAGAGACTGGGTGCTGGAGACTGGGTGCTGGAGACTGGGTGCTAGAGACTGGGTGCTAGAGACTGGGTGCTGGAGACTGGGTGCTGGAGACTGGGTGCTAGAGACTGGGTGCTAGAGACTGGGTGCTAGAGACTGGGTGCTGGAGACTGGGTGCTAGAGACTGGGTGCTAGAGACTGGGTGCTAGAGACTGGGTGCTGGAGACTGGGTGCTAGAGACTGGGTGCTAGAGACTGGGTGCTAGAGACTGGGTGCTGGAGACTGGGGTGCTAGAGACTGGGTGCTAGAGACTGGGTGCTAGAGACTGGGTGATAGAGACTGGGTGCTGGAGACTGGGTGATAGAGACTGGGTGATAGAGACTGGGTGCTAGAGACTGGGTGCTAGAGACTGGGTGATAGAGACTGGGTGCTAGAGACTGGGTGCTGGAGACTGGGTGCTGGAGACTGGGTGCTGGAGACTGGGTGCTGGAGACTGGGTGCTAGAGACTGGGTGCTGGAGACTGGGTGCTGGAGACTGGGTGCTAGAGACTGGGTGCTAGAGACTGGGTGCTAGAGACTGGGTGCTGGAGACTGGGTGCTAGAGACTGGGTGCTAGAGACTGGGTGCTAGAGACTGGGTGCTGGAGACTGGGTGCTGGAGACTGGGTGCTAGAGACTGGGTGCTAGAGACTGGGTGCTAGAGACTGGGTGCTGGAGACTGGGTGCTAGAGACTGGGTGCTAGAGACTGGGTGCTAGAGACTGGGTGCTAGAGACTGGGTGCTAGAGACTGGGTGCTGGAGACTGGGTGCTGGAGACTGGGTGCTAGAGACTGGGTGCTAGAGACTGGGTGCTGGAGACTGGGTGCTAGAGACTGGGTGCTAGAGACTGGGTGTCTCACACCTTTGAGGATGATGGAAAATGTGACTGTGGATTTTCAAACAGGGTTGACAACGTTACCAAACATCTACAGTGTGAGAGATGAGAGTTGACATCAATAAGAGTGAAACATCTTCTAACCAGAGCCATATATTTTCTAACTGGTAACCCATCTTTCCTTCTCACCCCAGCTTCCTGTTTTTTTGACCCCTGACCTCTGTGTGCTGCAACGTCTAAACTCTAACTTCTGTGTGTTCTTCCCCCTGGAGATGACCCAGTCCCCGTGGGCGGAGCAGCAGGGTCAGCTCATAGGTGGTTTCGATGAGAAGGCCTACCTGTTGGAGAAACAGCTCAAGGCGGGAGACGACCCCTACAGAGACCACGCCTTCAACCTGGCTGAGAGCGACCGACTCGGCTCCGAACGGGCCATCAGAGACACACGGCACTACAGGTGTCTTAGTAGTTATAAAAAGCAAACATTGATTAGGATTTATAGTGGTGTTGCTTTCATGTGAAGGACGAACAGGACAAGATGCACAGTAGCTGTGAATACGTTACTAAAACAATGTTACTAAAACAATGTTACTAAAACAACGTTACTAAAACAACGTTACTAAAACAACGTTACTAAAACAATGCTTCTTCTTATTGTTTGTAGGTGTGCCTCCGTGAATTATGACGCTAACCTTCCTCCTACGAGCATCATCATCACCTTCCACAATGAAGCTCGCTCCACCCTGCTACGCACCATCAAAAGGTAAGGAACCATTGTATGCCTTTCACAATGAAGAATTGACCCTCAATATAGTGTTTAATGCTGCCCTTTCCCTCCGTCTCTCAGTGTCCTGATGAGGAGCCCTCCCTCTCTGATCCAGGAGATCATCCTGATAGACGACTTCAGTACCGACCGTGAGTCTCTGCTTTTTCTCAGTTCTCCTCTTTAGATAGTCTCCAGTCTTTACACGGCTCCCACCGTGAGGATCTGGCTGTAATCCGGCTCTCTGTGAGGTCCCTGTCTGTTCTCCTTCTTGGTGAGTCTCTTTACGTTGAGACAAGATGTCCAGCGCTGATTCTCTCTAGGTTGTCTCCACCTTCTGTGTGTTGACCTGTCAGAAAAACACAGAATGATATGACCTCACTCAGAACACTATCTATATCACTCACTGTGTGATCACACACACACACACACACACACACACACACACACACACACACACACACACACACACACACACATAGACAGAGACACATACTGAGGTGTCGGAGCTGGCCCAGTTTCCTAACAGGAGGTTTAAGCAGCAGCTGAAGCAGCAGTATAGTGGTAACAGCAGTATAGTGGTAACAGCAGCAGTATAGTGGTAACAGCAGTATAGTGGTAACAGCAGTATAGTGGTAACAGCAGCAGTATAGTGGTAACAGCAGTAGTATAATGGTAACAGCAGTATAGTGGTAACAGCAGTATAGTGGTAACAGCAGTATAGTGGTAACAGCAGCAGTATAGTGGTAACAGCAGTAGTATAGTGGTAACAGTAGTATAGTGGTAACAGCAGCAGTATAGTGGTAACAGCAGCAGTATAGTGGTAACAGCAGCAGTATAGTGGTAACAGCAGTATAGTGGTAACAGCAGCAGTATAGTGGTAACAGCAGTATAGTGGTAACAGCAGCAGTATAGTGGTAACAGCAGTATAGTGGTAACAGCAGCAGTATAGTGGTAACAGCAATATAGTGGTAACAGCAGCAGTATAGTGGTAACAGCAGTATAGTGGTAACAGCAGCAGTATAGTGGTAACAGCAGCAGTATAGTTGTAACAGCAGCAGTATAGTGGTAACAGCAGCAGTATAGTGGTAACAGCAGTATAGTGGTAACAGCAGCAGTATAGTGGTAACAGCAGTATAGTGGTAACAGCAGTATAGTGGTAACAGCAGTAGTATAGTGGTAACAGCAGTATAGTGGTAACAGCAGCAGTATAGTGGTAACAGCAGCAGTATAGTGGTAACAGCAGCAGTATAGTGGTAACAGCAGTATAGTGGTAACAGCAGCAGTATAGTGGTAACAGCAGCAGTATAGTGGTAACAGCAGCAGTATAGTGGTAACAGCAGCAGTATAGTGGTAACAGCAGCAGTATAGTGGTAACAGCAGCAGTATAGTGGTAACAGCAGCAGTATAGTGGTAACAGCAGCAGTTATAGTGGTAACAGCAGTATAGTGGTAAACGCAGCAGTATAGTGGTAACAGCAGCAGTATAGTGGTAACAGCAGCAGTATAGTGGTAACAGCAGCAGTATAGTGGTAACAGCAGCAGTATAGTGGTAACAGCAGTATAGTGGTAACAGCAGCAGTATAGTGGTAACAGCAGCAGTATAGTGGTAACAGCAGCAGTATAGTGGTAACAGCCGCAGTATAGTGGTAACAGCAGTATAGTGGTAACAGCAGCAGTATAGTGGTAACAGCAGCAGTATAGTGGTAACAGCAGCAGTATAGTGGTAACAGCAGCAGTATAGTGGTAACAGCAGCAGTATAGTGGGTAACAGCAGTATAGTGGTAACAGCAGCAGTATAGTGGTAACAGCATCAGTATAGTGGTAACAGCAGCAGTATAGTGGTAACAGCAGCAGTATAGTGGTAACAGCAGCAGTATAGTGGTAACAGCAGCAGTATAGTGGTAACAGCAGTATAGTGGTAACAGCAGCAGTATAGTGGTAACAGCAGTATAGTGGTAACAGCAGCAGTATAGTGGTAACAGCAGCAGTATAGTGGTAACAGCAGCAGTATATTGGTAACAGCTGCAGTATAGTGGTAACAGCAGTATAGTGGTAACAGCAGCAGTATAGTGGTAACAGCAGCAGTATAGTGGTAACAGCAGTATATGTGGTAACAGCAGCAGTATAGTGGTAACAGCAGTATATAGTGGTAACAGCAGTATAGTGGTAACAGCAGTATAGTGGTAACAGCAGCGGTATAGTGGTAACAGCAGCAGTATAGTGGTAACAGCAGCAGTATAGTGGTAACAGCCGAAGTATAATGGTAACAGCCGCAGTATAGTGGTAACAGCAGCAGTATAGTGGTAACAGCAGCAGTATAGTGGTAACAGCAGCAGTATGAGTTGGTAACCAGCAGTATAGTGGTAACAGCAGTATAGTGGTAACATGCAGCAGTATAGTGGTAACAGCAGTAGTATAATGGTAACAGCAGTATAGTGGTAACAGCAGTATAGTGGTAACAGCATATAGTGGTAACAGCAGCAGTATAGTGGTAACCAGCAGCAAGTTAAATAAGTGGTAACAGCAGCAGTAATTACAGTATGTGGTAAACAAGACGCAGCATATAGTGGTAACAGCAGTATATTGGTAAACAGCAGTATAGTGGTAACAGCAGCAGTATAGTGGTACAGCAGTATAGTGGTAACAGCAGCAGTATAGTGGTAACAGCAGTATAGTGGTAACAGCAGTATAGTGGTAACAGCAGTATAGTGGTAACGCAGCATATAGTGGTAAACAGCAGTATAGTGGTAACAGCATATAGTGTTAACAGCAGTATAGTGGTAACAGCAGCAGTATAGTGGTAACAGCATATAGTGGTAACACAGCAGTATAGTGGTAACAGCAATGCAGTAATAGTTACACAGCAGTATAGTGTAACAGCAGTATAGTGGTAACAGCAAAGTATAGTGGTAACAGCAGCAGTATAGTGGTAACAGCAGCAGTATAGTGGTAACAGCAGCAGTATAGTGGTAACAGCAGCAGTATAGTGGTAACAGCAGTATAGTGGTAACAGCAGTATAGTGGTAACAGCAGCAGTATAGTGGTAACAGCAGCAGTATAGTGGTAACAGCAGTATAGTGGTAACAGCAGCAGTATAGTGGTAACAGCAGCAGTATAGTGGTAACAAGCAAGTGTAAGTGGTAACAGCAGCAGTATAGTGGTAACAGCAGCAGTATAGTGGTAACAGCAGTATAGTGGTAACAGCAGTATAGTGGTAACAGCAGCAGTATAGTGGTAACAGCAGTATAGTGGTAACAGCAGCATTATAGTGGTAACAGCAGCAGTATAGTGGTAACAGCAGTATATAATGGTAACAGCATATAGTGGTAACAGCAAGTATAGTGGTAACACAGCAGTATAGTGGTAACAGCAGTATAGTGGTAACAGTACAGTATAGTGGTAACAGCAGCAGTATAGTGGTAACGCAGCAGTATAGTGGTAACAGCAGTATAGTGGTAACAGCAGCAGTATAGTGGTAACAGCAGTCAGTATAGTGGTAACAGCAGCAGTATAGTGGTACAAGTAGATATAGTGGGTAACAGCAGCAGTATAGTGGTAACAGCAGCAGTATAGTGGTTACAGCAGCAGTATAGTGGTAACAGCAGCAGTATAGTGGTAACAGCAGTATAGTGGTAACAGCAGCAGTATATAGTGTAAAGCAGTTAACAGCAGCAGTATAGTGGTAACAGCAGCAGTATAGTGTAACAGCAGCATATAGTGGTAAACAGCAGTATAGTGGTAACAGCAGCAGTATAGTGGTAAACAGCTAGTATAATATAGTGGGTAACAGCAGTATAGTGGTAACAAATCATGATTTTGTTTTATTTTCCAACATGAAGTTTAGGAGTCAGTGTTTGGGCCAGCCACCTCTATAGAAACAGGTGTATTAACAAGGATTGGGTGCTACAGTGTATTAATTTAACAATATGTTTGTTATTGCCTTGGATTGAATTAGAACATATCATTATGTAAATACATGTCCTAAATTTGGAGACTTAACTGTTTTTTTAAATAGTTTTTTTGGGGTTGGACAGCAATTTACACCACTTCAGTAGAATCACCCATATAGTGTCCTTCTATGACCCTAGTGCACTATAAAGGGAATGAGGAGTCATTTGGAACTCGCTCCATGCCTGCAGACCAGGAAGCTCAGAGGAGGATCATCCTTTTAATGCTAGCCTTAATCACTACAGGACTGTTGCTTTAATCACCAGAGAACTGCCCTTAATCAAGGAAGCTGTTGCTGATCGAGATGAAAGGACCATGTGACTCCACTAGACAGACAGACGGACGGACAGATTGACGAGCGGGCAGGCAGGCAGGCATACAGGCAGGCAGGCATACAGACAGACAGACAGTCAGACAGACA